TTTTGGGGGGGACTTGGGGTGTATATGATGAGGGGTTGAGTTTTTGGGTTTGGAATCTCGGGCTCAGGGGTTTGGGTTTAGAGTTCGGGAGTGGCGCTTTGGGATGATGCTGTGGAGAGAGTCCGCCCAGTTTGAAGGAGATGAAACGATTTGGTAGGACATTTTTGAGGCAAACCTCTGTTATGGATAGCATCCCATAGAAGGAAAACAAGGAAACCAAACGTAACCATGTTTTAGAGTCCGGGGTATAGGGAGGATGAAATACAACTTGCGATTCGCGGGTTTTCAGTACTGGCTCCTTGTCGGTGAGTAAAGTTGAAGTTACCGTCACAGGGATCTATACTAAATAATGAGAGTTTCTTGTTACGGTGACTCAATTTCAAAATTACGCGCCTGACAAGAACCCTGAGCAGATCCAACTTCGCCGCAGCTTCACCGGTTCGGAAGCGAGGGCACACTAAGAGTTCTTCGCACTCCTGTGCGTAGCCACATACGCACCGGTACCTCGGCGATGAGCAGCTCGGAGTCAGATGCAGAGGCACCCCTTTCACAGAGCGCCGGCCAAGAAAGCAAGCGCTCGACTTCCAGTTTGGGGTGCGGCTTTATCATCCTCGCGTTCGAAGAGTTCCTTAGTAGCTGAGTAGGTAACCTTTCGCTTTTTTTTGGGTGTTTTATGTAATCCTACCATAGTTGAAGAGGTTAACTTTTTTTGGGGGCTAGGGTATTTAGACCCTAAGGCTCCTGGCTCTCTATTTCATTGTTGCAGTTTGTCGTCAAGATGCCGAGAAGTGGCACGTCATGGTGATGCAGCTTGCAGCCATCTTCCTGGTCCATGTCGCCTTTCAATGCTTCTTTGACAGAGTGCTATGATTTAAGTCCTGCATTACCTTAATTACCCTAGACTGTGGGAGTTATGGTATATTCCTTACTGCGCCGATGTATTATGGGTTATGCAGGATTTATATTACCAGCCACAGTTGGTGACACTTCAGGTTTTTATGTGTACTAAGCCCAAGAAGGAATAGAAAGTATCATTGTTAATACTATCCCAACTGTGGACCAGGTTTCGGGATGGACCAACACGACCCCGTGAATGTTGGGCTCGAGGCCATACAGGACGACATGGATCATGCACCCTAAGCCCCTAAACCCCAAACCCTATCCTTTTTGGTGGCTTAACAGGACGACATGGAACATGCGGACTTTGAGCAGCTATTTGATCAGTTGCAAAATGCCTCGCCGAGCATCGACCACATCGCAGAGGCCATAAAAACAGGGTCAAAGGCTATCGGTGGCGGCCGGAGGCTTTATAATCAAGTTCTGCACAAGAACGCCGAGTCACAGACCTTCGCCTTCACAAGCTGGCGAGATGTGTCAGATCCGGTATCAGGCAGGGACGGACCAAGCATCATCAACGTTTACAGAGAGCATTACTTGGAGGTTCATGGGTAGGAAAAGGCGGGTCCACAAGTCACAAGTCTAGTATTATAAATCTATAGCTGTAGTAATTCGACGAGGAAGGCTATGAGCTCCACTTGTAACTACCCATGTACCTCCCCTTCAAGCCCTTCTGTACCTCCCCTTCAAGCCCTTCTAGATCCCTTAAAGGAATCCTATAAGTTCCACTTATAACTACCCTTGAACGTCCACTCATAGCTTTTATAGAGACCTGAAAGGAACCCTATAAGCCCTCCCTAGAACTACCCTTGAACCCTCTAAGTAGAGCCTTTCCAGACTCGAGGAGGTCTGAGGGTCCTTTCGCGGCTGCAATAATTGCCTAAACTATGTTGGGGCTCATTATAGACATAGCACAAAATGCCCCAAAACCATATTCCAATTATTAAGGCCGCTACAATAGTTAGTAATTTTGAACCCTAAGAAACAACCAACATGCAAACTTTTGCAATTGTCCCACGTTCCGTATGGAGGTTTCTAGAATTGCATGAGAGTCCTCGTTAACACACCATGTTTCTGCATTTCGGTGACCGCTGGAAATCGTTCGGAGGCTGAAAAGCTTCAACATTAAACCTTCTGGTTCTTAGTAGGGAATAGGGGAATGGACTATGGATAGTATTATTGGGGATACTATAGGGACTACTCTTGGGATCCATTCCACCCTTCCCTACTGAGCACCAGACAGTTAAACATGTTAATGCGTTTTCAGCCAAAAAAGGGCGAGATTTCAGCTTTTGGACGGCTTCAGCGCTGGACATAACGTGACAAGCAGTTAAAGCCGGCAGGCTCGTGAGTGGCCTAGGAGAGGCCACTTTTCAGGCTGTCAAGGATAGAGAAGGCTCGTGGGAGGCCCAGGTAGGCAGGAAGACTGCAGCAGCTTCACCGATTCAGCATTTAAGCGGTTGGAAGTGCAGGCAGAGCAGCAGGTCCGACATGTGGGCGTAACAACTTGTGCTGCCGAGGTTGACGCTTGAGTCTGCAAAATGGTATTTTGCTTTTTTTGTTCTGCTGCGTTGCTGCTGTTGCAGCATCGGTCCCTATTGTTGCTGAAGTTGCTACGCCTCATCTCCTCCTCTTGTTGTTGTTGTTGCTGTTGTTGTTGTTGGTTGTTGTTGTTGCTGCTGTTGTCCTTGTTGTCGCTGCTGCTGGTGTTGTTGTTGCATACGCTTTGGCAGCTGCTGTTAGGCACGTGTTCTCAAAATCTTTGTTGTTATAAGCCAGATCGTTTTGAAACTGCGCTCATGCCTCTGATGCATGCTCAGCTGCTGGGGCCTTGTCGTTAAGGAGTTTGAAGACAATTTCCCACCCGACCCTGCCATCAGGTTATGATGACTATCCGTTTGCGCAAGTGACGATCACTGCAGAGTATGAGTGCTTCGACGAGGCAACAACTACCAAAGCAAACATGGTGAAGCAGGCTGTTACTTAGATCTTCAGTACCCAACCTTTAAACTTTTTGGGTTCTTATAGTTTAGTAGCAATCGGAAAGTTTAACCTTTTGTTGGTGTCGCTTTTTTTGGGGAGCAAGGTTATGGCGGAGTGTGCGCGAAAAGCTCCGAGTGGAACTCAAAGATTCAACGACTTCAGCAAGGCTCCTGAATGACCAAACGAGCCCGCGTTCTGTATATAAAAGGTCTATGGCACCGTTCAAGGCTTCGGGTTCCTTGACAGTCTAAGACTAAGACAGCACTCAAACCCGCCCCAAAAGTAGGAAAACAAATGGCACTGCGCCTATAAACGGCCGTCATTCTACATACTTATGAGGTTCAGGTATAAGGAGTCGAAAGTCTCCTAAACCCTCAACCCCTAAATCCTAAACCCCTAAACCCAAACCCTAGACTAGGAAGAATGCACCCTAATCCCTTGTGGTCTTTAAGGTGACGTTGACTCCGAGCATGGGCGTGAAGCCGGTTGAAGGTACCCAGGATTACGCCGTAACTCGCCCTGGCGAGAGCATCCCATGCTGGCTGTCCCTCAAGGTGGGGTTGGGTTAAACTGGGTTTAGGGTTTAGGAGTTTCGGGGTTAGGGGGTTTATATGGTTTAGGGTTGAGGGGGCTCATTGCCATGGGAATGGGGTACTTTCCTTAAGTTGGATCCCACTAAGCCCGAAGCCGTAAACCCACTACTCGTACTTGGGGTCCACACTGGGATTTCTGGAGCTGACAGGTCTACAAGATTGGGTCGTATCTCATCCCATTCTTTGGGACCTGTTATCGGCTCCTTTTTGTGCGCACTGTCCCACACATCCACTACAAAGTCGTCAAGCAGGTGTCTGTGTTGCGGCAGGGAGGTGCAGACTGGCGGGCTCGCTAGGAGAACTCAAAACCGCCAAGCTGGAGCCATACTACAGGGGCATTGTGAGAGCCTGGGTTTACGGCAGCAGGTTTAATAAGGGATAAGACATTTGATTAATCGGGTACTATGATATGATCGCATGCTCTGTAGAGAGTGAATACATTTTTCTGCTCGCTTTGCTCAGAGAGGTCGCATTGAGCTTTCGGCCTGATCGTCATACTTCTTAACCTAGATGCCCAAATCCAATTCTTTAACCCTAAATTGAACTAAACCCTTGAACCTTAGCTTATTTATGCCATGCACAAGCCGACTTTCGTTAGGCTGTCGCAGGAAAGCGAGTGGGGCTGTAAAGGAGCGGGCAACGTAGGCAACCGCTGCTGTACCATACGAGCTGTAATTCATTCACTGTACTTAGCCATCTGTGCATCACGATACTGAAGATCGCGGTAGTCCCCTTCAACGGCAGAGTCTTTTCACCTTTGCTGCCGAGTGAAGCAATTGCTCACTGAAGGGTGTGACAGGAGCATCTTGTGTGCTGTCGCTTGGTGCTACTCGCAGGGCAAAACATGTCGACAGTGCGTCCCAAAACTTGCTTTCAAGTCCCCAAACCCCCAAACCCGCTTCCAAGTTCCGAGTTTAGACCTGCGTGCCTAAACCTCAGAGCGCAAAACTTCCATCGGGGGACCCGCCAAGTTTCTCTGACTCTGCGTGTTGCGCTTAAGGTGGCATACTACTCTCACCTGAAGACCCCATATTGCACAAAAGCCTTAAGCCCTAAAGCTTAGTTCCTTGACTACAACCCCCCTCCCCAAGGGCAGCCAGGCTACTGCGGTGTCGGGCTCATCATCCTAAAACGCTGGAATCCGATCCCAGCTGGGACTTCTTGCTGAAATAGCCGCGGTCTCCAGCGTAGTTGTTTGCTGACCATAGGTAGTTTGCCCAGATGGACAACTTAAGCTGTCGAATACAAAAAGAGGAGTGAATCTGTTGCTTTTCCTGGCACGGCCCCTTTCACAACCTTATGCTTGTCAGAGGCAGTCCTTACCTGAGGTCTTAAATGCCTTGATCCTCGACGGGTTGTTTCCACACACATCACAAAAACAGGTAATAATATGAAGAAGAAGAGGAATAAGCAAAGCAGGAATAATAATGAAATACTATTGGCCCCTTCTAGTCTGTTTATACTTGTAGTAATAGTACACTGTCTCGCAAAAACCTAAACCCTAAACCCTGTACATCCTATCTCGAGGACCTCGAGACGCCCAAGGACGCTGCCGAAGAGGCTGAGGCCTTTGAAAGGTTTTAAAGTTCAGGGTTTAGGGTTTCGGTGGAAGCTGCTGGGTCAGGGTTTAGAGTTTAGGGTTTCGCCAGGGTTTAGGGTTCCGGCGGAAGCTACTGGATGTCCTGCTGATCATGGCGTAGGATTGTCGCTCTGCATATAAATGTTTGCCAGCGCAAATCCCCAAACAGTGACAGCCCACCACGACGACGGATACGACCACAACCACCGTTGCCAGCAGGACCACCACCACGACCACCAGAGTGTTCCCCGAAACCCTATTCTAGGGCCCCATATCATAGTGCCCTTCTAGATCCCATATAGTAACCCTTATAGACCCCTTTTAAAGGAACTCTAGTGAGCCAGCAGGAGACCCCAAGACACCACCAGGAAACCACGACGTCACGCTGCCAAAGTGTGTTCATCCATCTCTCGGCGGGTTTCACAGACGCAGTTCAGGAGCACGGCCTGTTTTGGGAACAATAGTATGAGACGTCTGCAGGGGATGTGGATTAGGAGCTGAACCCTTCTAGCATTCCAACATTGCCGAGTGCGAGAGTCGAAACCCCTGTAAATGCTGCGCAATATCCTGCTGATGGCAGCTCTAGCGATCTAGCCGGCAAACAAACATTCTCATTATGAGTCGCATTACTCAAGCCCTACTACGTCCTAAGTCCGAAGCTAAACCTACTGTTCAGGTGGATGAACCATGCAAACAGGGCATTAATGCTTGCAGTTAACACTATCTGGTGGTCCCAAAAATCTACCCCGAACGATATCTTCCTAGCAAGAGTAGTCCCGATTTATAAAGAGGGGTGATATTGACATGCCGTCAAACTACAGGCCTTTTTCATTGTTGAAATCCGTCTATAAGACATATATGTGTTTAATACGCAATCGGCTGCAAAGTATCTTGGAGCCAAAGTTGTCGAACACACAAAACGGGCTTCGCCCAATCTGGAGCACGTCTCATGCGATACATGTCACCAGACACACGCAAGATATTGCAGAACAACGAGGTTGCAATTTAACCATTGCTATGCTAGATTGGGAAAAGGCTTGCAACAGAATACAACATGACAGACTGGCGATAGCTATCACCGGCTCGGTATTCATCCACAGGCATCCGGTCTTCTTTGTTGAGGAAGAGTATTCGAGATCCATGATAAAGCAGCAAGGATCAGGCATTCGCCAAGCATGCCATTTGTCTCCTTATTTGTTCGTGTTTTAGTAAGTAATGTCTGTCAAAGGTCACGACATCAGCTGTAATATAAATCAGCGCACTGTGAATTCTAGGTTTGGTGGAGTAGTTTTCGATAGAGTTAACTGTGCAGTCGATACTTTACTCATCAGTACCAACACACGAGCTGCCAATAGTTTACTACACGAAGTAGAAGCAGTGTCTGCGCAATCTGGGTTACGTCTTAATAGGGATAAATGCTGTTACACTGCTATGAACGGTCACAATGTCGTCAAATTTTCTGATGGTATCAGGTTCAAAAGAGTAAACGAAGCCACATATCTAGAACATCAAGTCACACGAGCAATAGACATACGACATGAAATCAACCACACCATGCGTGATACATTAGAAGTTTGGTATAAGCCGACCAGCTTTCGGAAGGCTGTGCAGTGCCCTGCGCATTGAAATTACATGTCTATGGTGCCGTCATCAGAAGCAAGCTTCTAAGCTATACAGCCTGGAAACTGCTCATCTAACGCAAACGATGCAGAAGAAAGAAACATGTAAAACAAAACACATGCGTTTCAGTTCAGAGGAATTAGAAGGATCCTAGGGATAGATAGTACTTATGTGAACCGAGCAAATACGAGTGATTTAATATGAAAGAATTGACAGCGAATAAGGACATGAAGAAGTACAAACCCAACAGCAACGAAATCAAACTGTTTTCGGAGTTGGTGTGAGAGAGCGTATCAAACTATCTGGCCATATTCAAAGAGCCAGTGAGGAGGACCCCTTGAGGCAAGTCAGCTATAATCCCAACTCCGCGAATACCTTCGAGATTGGCAAACGGAGGGTCGGGGGACCGAGACCGAACTGGTTCGTCTACAGGGTCTAACAAGTATACTTTTGGAAAATAAGATTTCCAACCCTCCGACTCAACATGCTTCTTTAGTTGAGCAATGCCACCGAATCTTCGAGGAAGCCAGAACCCGCCAATTTTTAGCCGATCTCACCCTTCCTGTGCCTAAATACGCCCTAAACTTAGTGCAGCCTAGACCCCGTAAATCCTAAACCCTAAAGCCTGCAAGCCGTAGAAGCCGGGAAACACTAGATCCAAAATCCAAATCCTACGCTATTAACCTCAAAGAGCAGGCAGAGCTTGAGGCTTTGCACGCCTGCGCGAGGAGATTTTCTTTGGGGCAGCAGAGATCTGTGGGATGAGCGTTTAGGATTTATGTTCTTACCCTAAGGCTCAGAACAGCCCAGAAGCCTTACATAGAATGGTCATTAGGCCCAAAAGCCTTAATATATGAGTCCTTAGAGCCTTAGGGTTAGGTTGTGCACTGCAGGTTTCAGGGAGGGCTTTTCAACGGGCCTGTCGTGTGTATAAGGCCACGCAACAGTGTATGACCGAAGGACAAAGTACGCTGTCTGCTCTCCCACACCCCATTCTAGCTGTTAATGCCTTAAAGTTTGGGGTGGGGCACTTTGGGATTTTAGGGTTCAGAGCTGCGCAGCTCAGGAGTTGAAATTTGGGCTAAAGACATGGGTTTGGGTTTGAAGCTTGTGTATGTGTGTCTGTGTGTGCATGTTGGAATTTGGAGCAGGTTTTAGGATGTTGGTTTTTTGGTTTGAGCAATTAACTAGTACTTGAATGGTAGTGAAGTGGGAAGAGCCTTTGGCTTGAGACGCTGGACCTCGAGTTTTTGGCCTTTGATGCTTACAGTCGCACCGGTTTGATGTACAGCACCGCCGGGAGTTTCAACAATTGATGGCGCAGCTCCGCCTGCATCATAAATGCTGCATACATACCTACATACATACATACATACGTGCACACATACACGTGCATAACAGCTCTTATAGCGTAAAAAAATCATTTAAATCATGCACGTGCTTCAATACATCATTACATGTTTGCTCTCTTGCTTGCTATCTTGCTTGCTAATGTATGTTCTTACCTGATTGCATACGTACTTACCTCGCCCTTTCCAGTCAGGCACACTACACGTCCCTCCACTCACTTACTCCACTCAGCTCCGCTCCACTCCAATCGACTCCACGCCCCTCCATATACTCTCCAACATAGTAACCTACATAAACCCTAAGCCCGAAACCTTAACCCTCAACCCTCAACCCTTCTCAAGAATAGTAACCTACATAAGTTATGTTAAACTACTACCCCAATCCCGAGTACTCAATTCTTCGGTCCTTTGGACCCTTAGGGTATGCTCCTTCGCAGGATCGCGGCACTGGTGGCGCAGAGTGATGCTGCTGCTGGTTGGGCAGAAGCAGCTGAAGAGAAGGCTCATATAATAGAAACAGAAGTATTAACGATAAAAGTATAAGTATTCCAATAATAACACATAATGATAGTTCGGTCCTCACTGAAAAAATCAACATGACAGGTTTAGATCCTTTCTACAGAATCTATCAGTTGTGTGTAAGTACTGGGTCTTGATGAGGAACTACAACTCGCAATTTAAAATACTAAAGGGCATTATTTACTGCATGTATTTTGGCAACTAGATTACTATAAGTTGTAAGAAGAGCCCAGTCAGCTATGACCGCTGAGGCATGGTACCGCTCGGTTGTGATGGTCGATTTGCTTTAGCACTTGGTCTCTGCGGTTTGTGTTGAGGCCCAAAGCAAATTGGGACCTGTTGTTTGGGGTGTCAGGCCAGGGAAACCTGGCATGAAAAAAACTATCAAAGCCACCAACCCAAACCTTATGCACAGAACCCTACAGTGTGAACCCATCTAGTTTAGGGTTTAGGGTTTAGGGTTTAGGGGCCAAACTTCCCGTGATTATTGCAGCTTGAAGTTAGTTCCTCTCAGGCAGGAAAGACATGATTCGGGGGTCCGAAACCCAAACCCTTGAGCACAGATCCTAAGCCGCAGACCGTAAACCCTAATCCCCAGTAGGAGGCAACAACCCTAAACGGACAAACCTTAAACCACTACACCCCCTTGCCCTTAAACCGCAAAACAGAAGCCGCGCCAGCCACTAAACCACTAAAGGCCCCCCAACCTGAAACTCGCAAGCCCAAACCCCCAAAGCCACAAGCTGCTATGTAATTTGTTTCGTCCATGAACAGCTACTGCATGCCGTCGTTGCTAACCGAGTCAACCTCGCCCGTGGACTTCGGTTCCAGCCACGCAAGAGGGTGAAAGCTCCAACCCTAAGGCTCAAAGCAGCCCAAAAGCCTTATATGGAATGGTCTTCGGGCCCAAAAGCCCTAATATATGAGTCCTTAGAGCCTTAGGGTTAGATAGGTTTACCCTAAACCCTAAAACCCTAAACCCTAAACTCCAAGCACCGAAGGCGGGTACGATGCCGTCTGAGGCAACAGGAAGTCCGGCTTCGGCGACGGCCTCAGAGATCAGGTTTAGGGTTTAGCGCTTTAGGGTTTTAAGGGTTTACCTGAATCCCCAAGAGTAGGTGAAAATAAAACCCAAATACTCAGAAAAGGCCAGTATTCTACATACTTTTGGGGTCTAGGTATGGGTTAGGACTTAGGGAAAGGGTTGTGATTGGCGGAAAGGGTTTTTAAGTTTGGGATGTAGGCTTTCGGCTTCGGGTTTAAGATTTTAATCGGGTTGAGGGTATGGGGGGGTGCTTAAAAAAAGGGATTTGGTGGGGCTTAGGGTTTAGGAGCTCAAGTTTTGGGTTCAGGGTTTACGGTTTAGAGCCAGGCTTGAGGCCAACCGTTTTATGGGTTCGGGTCTGTGGTTTCGGGTATGGGTAAAAGTATACAGTGCAGTAGCGCTCTACACCAGGGTCCATGTTTTAGATCCAAAATACAGTACGGCACCCTTAAGAGGGGCTTCAATTTAGAGAACTACTATGAGAACTACCCATGTGCGCGCCAATTTCGGCTGAGATTTCGAAGTTCTAATGACCTTGATTGAACCCTCTACTGAAATTTACAGACTATCATTTCCCTGCATAAGTGGGCCCCAAATCGAAAGAACTCAGTCTCAAGTCGTCCTTTAGTCCAGCTACTACGGGGTCCTCAATCTTCATCAGTAGGGTCTGTAGAACATGTACTTTTATAGGCAGTATCAGAGAATCTTCTTACTTACCTGTTTCGTCACTCAAAGGCAGCTACGGGACGCAAGGATTCCGGATCTTTCCCTGCCTGCCGAGGCAGAGCCCCTTCTGCTAGCTTGCTTGTCTAGCGAGGCAGAGCTCGACAGCATGATGCAAGCCGGCCATGACTACCCTAGGGCCCCAATGTAGTTCCTTCTTGGGTTTCATATATAGAATCCTATAAGGTAATCCCAAAAAGGAACTGCTTTGGGGCCTGTGGGTATAGTCCCCTTAGGAATTATTTTTTGTTCATGCTCATATAAAACCCAAGCGAATAGTTAATACACGCATGGTTTTGTAGTATGGTTCTAAGGGCGGTATAGATGAAGCTGGCAAAGTTTTGGCAATACCTCTAGTCTCCCTTGTAGTTCCTCGTTCGTTAGCCAATGTTATGGTTAGCATCCTATACTGCAAATTTGGTTAACCCAAAAAAGAAACTGCAATGGAGACTATAGGTAGGTGTGTGCTTAGGGTTGTAGGTCTGGGGCCCTGGGGTTTAGGGTTCCGAGCTATTGGGTTTAGGGGTTTAGGGGATTAAAATGTTTGGGGTTTAGGACTAGAAAACTGCCCCAGCTCCTAAACCTGAAATCCCAGAACGGGATGCTTGCAGGAGTGCACAAAGCAAGCAAAAACCCTTAAACCTTACTTCGCATTCCGAAGCCACAGAGTGTCGTCAGGCTGAGATGGTGAGGTGATGTGGACATCAAGCACGCTAAGCACAAAACCCCAAACCCTAAACTTTAGGGTTTAAGCTGGATGCAAAAAGGGTGCGACGTTGCAAGTCAGTTGCAACATGGAAACCCCAACTCCCACAACCCCCGAAACCCTACACTGCGAAGGAGTCGGAAGTGCGGCTGTCTAGAGTCACTAGAGTCAGTGAGCTTGGGCAATAATTAGAGGGCCAGAACAATTCGACCAGGTTTCCGGAAGGTTTTACAGAGTTTCATGATAAGGTTGTAGTACTTTGTGTAGGATTTTGTGGCATTTATCAAAGTAATTACACAGGTAAGCCGTAGTGGCTGCAGGGGCATTTTGGATTCCATTACAAACCACATACGGGCCACCCAATGCCTTGGCGAGGATATGGAACAGAATGCAGGCCCAGTGCGATGACTCAGTAGCTGAGTAGGTAACCTTTAACCTTTTGGGGTTTATAAAATCCTGCTTGGCTCCCCAATACCAAAACCTGAAAACTTTTTGGGTTCTTATAGTTGCGTAGGAATCGCAAGGTATAACCTTTTATTTCTGTGGCTTATTGGGGGAGAAAGCCTACCAGCATTTTTAAGGTTAACCTTTTTTGGGCTAGGATACCCAGCCCAAGATGAACATGTTGCTGTCACGCCAGCTGCTAGGGGACCCTAAAATAGCACCCTAAATAGCAGGATCCTTACTATCAGGACCCCAAAATAAGGTACCCCTATAATGAGTCTGGGTTCTCACAGGGAGCCTAAGCTCCACGAGTGCCACTCCACACTTCCGCCCGACACCTGCTCAAGCGCAGTGAAGGTCCTGATGTCCTGCCCCACGAAGCAGAATGTAAAGCCCAAAACTACTCGATAACAACCACGACTTTGCTAGGTTGGCACAAGAACGACTAGAATCGGGTTCTGGGGGTTAGACTACCTAAGCTAAACCCAGATTCTTGTTCACCACATTCTTCTTTGCAGCTACACTGTACTGACACCCTCACCGCAAACAAGTCCGGAAGTGCAAAATCCGAATCCAACCTCATATCCTAGGGTCTGAAGCTAGGACCCAGAGTAAGCCCTTATTACCGTTTTTAGGGTTTAGGCTCTCTTATGACACACTTTAAACCCAAAAGGGCACCCTTTTTTGCTCCTAGGTTACTCTTGGGACTAGGAAGAACCACTGGTACCAATAATATTCCTTTTAGCATACATCTACTATAATGTACCCCCGAACCCTGCGCCAATTATTGCTTAGATCCCCAATACCCAACATTTTGAAGTTTTCGGGTCCTTATAGTTTTGTCGGAAGCAGAAAGTTTAACCTTTCATTTCTGTGGCTTATTGGGGGAGTAAGACTAAGGAACCTTGAACAAATCAAGGCCCCTGTATTGTTGATCTGATCAGGCCAGAAGATATGTGAGCCGCGAGGCAGGAATTGCTTTGCAGTGCAAGTGTTGAGTCCTACAGGTTTTTGTCTTTTGCTTGGAGGTTCATGGGTAGTTACAAACAGGGTTATAAGTAGGATAGCTGTACTCATAACCTAGATATTTTAGTGATTTATAACAACTAGCCATGAACTTCCAAGTAAGCCTAGTAGTAGAGTAGGTAACCTTTAACTTGTTTTGGTAGTATAGTCCCTATTTAATCCCAATGTAACCCAAAAAGGTTAACCTTTAGTTCCCCATCATACCCGACAAGTAGGTACCCAGACCTTCCAATATCCCTTAATTAAGGAATATACCTTAAACTATAGTAGGATCCGTAATATGATTTAGGGTGTATTCCTTAATTGAGGGATTTTGGAAGGTCTGGGTAAGGCTAGGGTCCCAGAGCCGCCAAATCTCAAACTCTCAACCCTAGCCTCTGAGCCCGAAAGTAAATGCCCCTAAGGGTTTAAGGTGTAAAAGGGGCTTAGGGTTGTAGGGTTAGGGTTCAGTAGCAGTGCACACTCTATGCTCCTTAGTTGAGGGGCAACCTGAAGAAGAATGCAGCAACAGAACTCAGTAGAACGGCCGAGTTCAAAGCACTAGATGTACCCCTGCTTCAATCAGGATTGTTTTGGAACCCGAAAACCTTGTTTTTCGGCTTCCAAAACACGACCTTTCTATCAGCCCAATATGGCACAAGGGCCAGGGGGAGGGCCTTTGGGGTCTCGCAGGGCTTGAATTCAGGAGGCAAAACTGACTGATCAATTAGGGTTCAAGGACAGACAGTTCGAGTTTGGACCTTGTGTACAGAAGGGAGAGGGTCGTGGGCCTTCCTGATAAAGGAGCACGGCCTCGCGGGTTTCCGTCTGTACGCAGCAAAGCTTTCCAGACTTGAACCCGGTTGTAACGTCCACGGCATGGAACTGGAATTCGTGTCTGGGAGTTTCCGAAAATTAGGGGTACCATGGGTACCTTATATTGAGGGTCCTTATAACTAGGATCCTACTATTTTGGGTCCTATGTTAGAGTCCCCTATTTTCGGAAGCTCCCATATGGATGGTGCCGCAATTTCTCCGGCTCCTCGCTTCCGGGAGTTGGGTGTGACGTTGGTGGTAGGGCTTCGCAGGGCTTGAGGTGAAGACACTTCGAAACAAGACGGTCCATATGTACTTTAGGGGTACTTAGAAATAGTTTTTTATTTCTGGTTATTATGATCCCTAAGAAACAGCTAAGATTATTATTTTTGCCAGGGTTCTAAGTTCAGTATAGGTACGGCGATTATGGAATTAAATAAGGTCCCCGAAACCGGGATGAGGATGTTGTTTTGGGGTTTAATTCCCAAAATCCTAGTATCTATAAGCCCTAAACCCTAAGCCCTATCTATGGACTCCATGGGGAAATAGCAAGCTTGAGCCCTTTGTGTCGAGGCCCGCAAGGTGCCTCTCCAATTGAAGGCGGCCCTGCCCGATCCAGCTCGGCACTCAGCATCCGGGGTCGGGTTATTTAGGGTTCAGGGTTTAGGGTTTAGGGGTTTGGGGTTTAGGGTTCAGGGGTTTAGGGTTTAAGGGATGATTGCCTGCCAGCTGAGTTGATCGCCGTCAAGTATCTTTTTGGTTTTTGGAGTCACAACTCCCTGAACCTTAAACCCTAGACCACAACTCAAGAATATCCAGTGCCGAGAACACCTTAAAGATTATTTTGTCGGGGCAGTCAGCGAAGATGTGCGCGGTTGTCTTCAGCAAGTGAGCCCTGAAATGTGCCGACTTCGGCACTCGCACTGTAGCATGAGGTCTCTAAGGCTTCTATGGGTATGCCTCGGGTGATCAAGTTGTGCAGCATGGTGTTCGGATGCATGAGTGCTGCGCTGCGGAGGAGCACTGAGCAAAGCAGCAGAGAATGCTACTGTCCTAAACCCCAAAACCTCAGGGGGTGGATGCCACGAAACGGAGCCTAAAACTATCAACCCCAAATCGTCCTCCAGCTCGGCAGCTTCAATTCACAATGTTTGCGGCCGTGGCAACTGCCATCAGTTGTTTCGTAGTTCGGCGGGATGCTCCCCAAGCCTAAGCGAGGCAGTCCTGCGCGACTTGTAGTTCTAGGATGTGCCCTGAATCGTGTATACTCTCTCCCGTCCCAGAAACCCAGCTGACTGGCCTGTTGACACGGTTGCTACTGGGGGGTGAGTGGTGTCGTTGGCGAGGGTTAGGCCATGTTCGTCACTGCAGCTACCGCTATTTCCGGCGCAATACACTTCAGCCGCACAAGGTGTACAGAACTGCATGTTCCCATGAACCCCAAGCACTACGACCGTAGATTCTAGCCTTCCCCTACCTGGGCACCATCGTGAAATCCTCGGGCTCCGGACCCCTCAAATACAAGCCAACAAGATGGCGACCCCTGCCTTCTCTTAGGGGTACTTAGAAATAGTTTTTAATTTTTTGTTATTATAATCCCTAAGAAACAGCTCAAATGATAATTTTTGCTAGGGCTCTAAGTTCAGCACTGCAAATCCACGTTCCGAGTCATCCCTAAACCCTAACCCTAGATGGCCCTAACTCTGTGGCAGTTGACATGTGGGCGTTTCCGAAAATGGTACCTTATTTTGGGGTCCTTATAATAAGGATCCTACTATTTGGGGTTCTATATTAGGGTCCCCCATTTTCGGAAACTCCCATGTTCGGCGGGGTTGAGCAAAGTAGGGCATGCTTGATTTGGGATACTGGGAACAAAGGGCCCGACTGTTTATTCGGGGTTTTTGGTTCTGCGTTTAGGGCTTGCTGTCTCAAATTCCCTGAAAACCCTACAGCTTCACCGTGCACAAACTGACCTGCACCTCAAACTTCATCTTAACCCAAACCTTCCCAAATCATGGGTTATCGCCCAGTGCAAGCAGCGGCGCTGAGGGGTTAGGGTTTCAGGTTTAATGTAGAACCCTCACAAAACAGATATTTGGAGCCGCAAGAACCTTCCAAGCCCTCAAGCCTGCAATGGCCATGGCGTCGACGGTACGGGTGACAGTGCTGAACCTCGCAGGCGCCGGCGGAATTGCGGGGCTTACATGTTCAGGTTCAGGGCCGGGAGGGAGGGAGGGAGAGAGAGAGAGAGAGAGACCGAGAGAGAGAGAGAGAGAGAGAAAGAGGGATTTTGAGTATAAGATGAAATCTGATGGATTTACGGCATACCCTGGCCGAGCAGTTTAGGGCAGGCACACATACTTATTCTGTTTCCTCAGGCTCAGGCGGATTGAACCCTGAGGGTGCACCTGCTGAAGAATTGGGATGCTAGCCTGAACCTACTAAAGCCTTACTTTTCGTAGGGTCTCAGGTTAAAGCAAGCCTTCTTTCCAGGGGATACCATATTGGCTTAGTAGCTGAGTGGATACACTTTACACTTTTTTGGGATAATATAATATTACCCACTATAAAACTGAAAGTGTACACTTTTGGGGGCTGATGAACTCAGCAACTAAGTTGGAGAGATTACACATGAGAGTTTCCGAAAATAGGGAACCCCAATATAGCACCGTAAGTAGTAGGATCCTTATTATATGGAACCCAAAATAAGGTACCCCTATTTTCGGAAACTCCCACATAACGAAGGCTGTGTGGTTCTAACCCCGAAAGCCGGTTCTCTAGGTAGGCTCGAGGGGTCCAGTATTGATGGTAGAGTCTACTTGGAGGTTCATGGGTAGTTATAAGTGGGGTTGTAAGTCCCCTCAAATGGGTTATAATTACGGTTACCCCAATCATAACCTTACTTATAACTACCCATGAACCTCCGAGTAGGTCCGTAGGAGCCGTCGGAGCTCCTTTCAAGTCGTCCCGAACCGTCGCTTCAGCCAGAGCATTCTCTTTTATTAGCTTTGCGAATCCAAAACCTGTACAAATGTCAAGCCGAAAGCTCCCCTAAAATGGTTGATCTCGAAAGATTCCTTCAGAATCCCTCAGGTTATTTGTTTTTGCAGGGTGGCCGTTCCAACCCCATGTGTGTGTGTGTGTCATTGAGATTGATTTATCGTGGTTCTGTGGTTTCTTGTATAGTTTTGTTTTTTTATGGATGGTTTAGGGCTTAGGTACATGGTACAACCTCCTAAGAGCCCAGTTCCCGTATAGTAGGTTACTGGAGTGAGTGTGGATACTACAAAGTTTTTATAGGCTTTAAGACTTTAAGGAGCAGCAAACCCTCTCGCTCTCTCTCGCACTCTCTCTCTCTCTCTCTCTCTCTCTCTCTCTCTCTCTCTCTCTCTCTCTCTCTCTCTCTCTCTCTCTCTCTCTCTCTCTCATCTCCATCAGCTGTTGAAACTCCCGGCGGTACTGTACATCAAACCGGTGCGACTTTAAGCATCAAAGGCCCAAAATTCGAAGTCCAACGACTCAAGCCAAAGGCTCTTCCCACTTCGCTACTATTCAAAAATATCAACATCCTAAGACCTCCTCCAAATTCCAACATGCACACACACACACACACATACACAAGCTTCAAGCCCTTCATGGCTTTAGCCCAAATTTCAACTCCTTAGCTGCGCAGCTCTGAAGCCTAAAACCCCAAAGTGCCTCACTCAAACTTTAAGGCGTGATCAGCTAGAATGGGGCGTGGAAGAGCACACAGTGCACTTTGTCCTTTTCTTTCTCTCTCTCTCTCTCTCTCTCTCTCTCTCTCTCTCTCTCTATCTGCCTACCCTGCAACTCATCTACCTATCTATCTATATGTGGACATATGTACACACATGCATGCATGCATACCCACCTTTAGATATGTACATAAATAGACAGGTAGTTGTCCCCCTTGAGCTTGACATGCATGTTGCGGCAAGCCTGACTCATGTTTTCTTGGCTCGATACAGGGGAGCTCCGGCAGACACAGGACTAAATGGGCATGTGTCTCCACTTTACAAATTCCACGAAGTAGAGGGTTGTGGTATCCACATGGGCGCGAATGTCTGCACAGGTCTTTCCCATTTTTTCCTTCTGGTGTTGAGGGGAGACGGTTGGGACCAGAGACACTTGTGGCCATGCTGAAGTTTCGGTCGCGGTCTTCCTCCAAGCAGGCCCGCGACATGAACGTGGCATGAACTAGTCTGCTGGGTGAAGTATGGTGAAGTGCACTTGGGGTTGGCACGAAAAACTACCTTGCGTCCGGAGTCCGTAGTTAAATGTGTGGTGCTACAGTGCCAATGTCGCTTTGCACGACTTTGTTGAGATTGAAGTTGTCGGAATGTTGCAAGTCCATTGCAGGCATTATGTAAGAGGAAGTGCTTGGCGGTTTACATGTACCTATCTCTGGTGCGACTGGGGTCGTAGCACAGATTGTGGAGCGTCCTTCAATCCACTTGAGCAGGTTCTGCAACGGTTCCATGTTCTTGATCCGAGCCCCAACGTGCAACATGGGCTGTGCACTGTTGCGCATGGGCTGTCCTCTCTTGCCGCTGTAATCCACCTGATAGCCTCAAGCGTCTCCTCCCACAAAAGCGGTGTAGTTTAGCCATGGGGCTCCCACGGATTCGGTCGGTGCTCGAATCTCTGCAGGAGTACGGGGCTTTGGCCGGAGGCCTACTAGTTGGGTTCCTCGTCTATCGGTCCATCCAACCTGCCCTCCGGGCGGAGGAGCCGAAAGACGAGAAACCACCGCTGAAGGTGCTGCCATGTATTCGGGCCAGACGTTCGGTTTTCCCGAAATCCTACGTGGATCGGGAAGTGAGCCCAGAGATCGTGCAGAGCTTGTTAGAAGCTGCCATGTGGGCTCCATTTCATGGCCCACGACCTCCATGGCGCTTTGTAGTTCTCGGTCGGTCTGCAATGGTGGAGATGCAGAAGATGACGCTGGCATACTATGATGCGAATTGGCGAGAAGTGGGCTGGGCCTCAGGGAAGCAGGGCTCAGAGGCAGAGTACCTTCAATGGCGGCACAGCACAGAGGAGGAGATTACTGGGCGCTGGGGGCCTGTTTCCTTCATGATTGCCATCGTCATGCAGAGACAGGCGGGGTCAAAACGAATGCCAGAGTGGGAGGAGATGGCAGCCACTTCGTGCGCAGTACAGAACATGCACATCCAGGCCGCCCAACATCCAGAGCTTGCTTGCTACTGGAGCTCTTGGCATTCGGCGGCACGAAGCTCACGTGAGATGCAACATTTTCTTGAGATGGGCAATGAGGACAAGTGCCTCGGGTACTTTATGGTAGCTGCTTGTGATCCTAACCTCAAGGACAACCGGTCGCGTGAGCTACAAACGCACATGCATGTGGAGTGGCGCGATTGAGATCGTCCTAGATCACGTAGTATAGAAGACTGCGACAAGCTGACTCAGCTGCAGTACTTTAGCCCTGGACCTTATCCACGACCACGAGCTCCAGAAGTATGTTTACTACATATTTCTAGAACAGTCGAACATCACAATTTAGCCTTACGACTGCGACCCCCTTGTTGCCGCGTTGGATTCCCGGAATGACTTGGGGACCCTGCAAGATCATGGAT